GAAACCCAAGGAGGGGTCGCTATGAGTTGGGGCCAACTCGATGGCAAATAACAACAATAACAACAACATTAAACAGGAAAGTCCCTCCAGAAAATAGTCAGAATACAATTAGGATACCTTGTAAACAAGGCAATCTTTCTCCATGAGGGTTTTTACTTTGCAAATGAGTTTATCTGATTTTCTCTCTCCAATAGCCTATTGAAGGAAGATTATTATCTCCATTTTACATGTCTAGAATTTCCCTGTCTCTGTGCCAGAGGTATGAGAGTGGAAAGAGAGTGACCAGGTTAAACCTCCCTTCATGTTAGCCTGATGTCCAGTGGTTCCTCCCTGTCAAATGAATTACATGGAAATGCCTCACTCTGGAATTTAGGGTTTCTAAGATAGGACTAGGCGCTCTGGTAGCAAACTGCCTAAGGCACTTGACTGCTAACCAGAAGGCTGGTGGTTGAAACCCACCAGCCACTCCTTGGAAGGAAGGTTGGGCAATCTGCTTCCGTAGTGATACCACCTCAGAAATCCAAGGAGGGGTCACTGTGAATCGGGTCCAACTTGAAGGCACATAACAACAACATAGGACTAGGAGCTCTGGAGGCGTAGTGATTAAAGCATTCAGCTGCTAACCAGATAGTTGGCGGTTCAAACCCATTAGCCACTCCATGGCAGAAGGATACAGCAGTCTGCTTCGATAAAGATTTACAGCCTTGGAAACCTTATGAGGCAGTTCTACTCTGTCCTAAAGAGTCACTGTGAGTCAGAATGGACTTGATGGCAGTGGATTTGGTTTGGGTTTAACATTGGACTGCCAATCTGACCCAAGTGTCTCTCACTTCTCCATACAAGTGCCTCGCAGTCCCTCCAAAACAAATGGCTTATTCTCTCCTGAATGTACCCATTGCCCCCACCCCTGAGCCTTTGTGGGGGTGTGCCCTGCCTAAAGGTCTTCACTCTCCAGCTGTGCCATTGGAATCCTCCCACTTCTTCAAGGCCCATCTCCAAATTACCCTTTCCCCAGAGCCTTCCCATTTCAGTGTGATATCTCCTCTTTTAACTATGTGGAATATTTTATGTGTCTCTGTTAGGACCTTCACACTCTGCCTTGAATTAGAGCTACTCTTTCACATTAGACTGTGAGCTCCTGACCTGAATACCCCTCATTTTTAGGGTGCCTAGTAGTAACATGTTCATAGTAGGCTGTTGTTTTTTGGAGCCGAATTCATATAGAAATAGGAATCTACCTATATCAGACCTTGGTGGTCTAGATTTGAAGCCAAGAAGAAGAGAAATGCAGCCCAGAGAAACTGTTCATCTATTTCACCAGGCCCTGTAAAAGTTTGGTGATCAATTTGTAAACTATCAGCTTTTGTTCATTGGCTTTTCCAAGTTCCAGAATTTCTTTTTAACATATAGGCTTATCATAGGAAATATTTCTCTGATCAACTATTTTTTTTTTACCTCCATTGCCATCATCTGAAGTCAAACCATCTCTCTCCTGAGATGCTGAAACCATCACTGTTCACTGATCTCTACTCCTTTGTAGTCTGTCCCCATCCTACTGACAGCCAGAGAGGTCTTTTCAAAATGTAGCTCTAAAACTATCATCCCCGTACTTGAAACCCATTATTGCCTTCCTATTGGTTTTAGGATTTCCCCTGCCACTGAAGGAGTTTGCACATGCTGTCCCCTTTGCCTGACATGTGCCCTGTTTCCCTGCTTTAGCCTTATCTCCAGATTTCTATCAGCATTCAGATCTCCATTCACATGTCACTTTCTGGGTGAAATATTTTCAGACCCATGGACTAACTTAGGTCACCCTATCACGCATTGACATAGCACTGTGACCCTTTGTTCAAAAACTTCACCACAGTTTATATTTACATATTTATTTCTGAGATTATTGTCCTATGGTATTAAGCTCTATGCTCCCTGCAAGCTTCATGAAGGCAGCGAGAAAGCTGCTTTTTCTCTCTGTTTTACCTACAAGAATTCAGCACAATGCTGCTATGTATAAGTAGCACAAAGCCTACTGCTTAGTATTTGTTGAAAGAATGAATATATTTTAACATCAGATAAAAATTCTTACAGTATTTTAAGATTAAGGTTTTACATCATAGTATTTATCCAAGGTAGATGTGTTAGCTGAAGGACCTTGACCAACTTATCTAACTGTCCAGGGTCTTGATTTTTTTTTTTTTTTTTTTTTCTTCAGCTATAAAATAAGGATAATAATGGCAATCTCCTGGGGTTGTTGTGAGGATTTAGTCAGATAATGCATCTGAAAAACTGCAAATGCTAGCAT